CAACCATATTTTGGCTGCAGAAGCAGGCAACAGCTGAGGATCAGAAGCTTTGTGTGTTCTTGATTGAGAAGGCCTTACATATGCTTCCATATGGATTGGGAGAAATACTTGTAATAGTTGACCTGAGGGGTTTTCGTACAGCAAATGCAGATTTCATTTTTTTTAAATTTTTGGTAACTCCCACTTCTCACTTTGTTTATGTTTGTTCTCTGCTTCTGTTGCAAATATTGAGATTTAGTTAGGGTGAATTGAAATTATGTTCAGAGCTGCGCTGCAGGGCTGTTTGGGAGAGTTACTTCTCCCCATCCCACGGATTCGTGTTCGAGCATGCGAATATCTAATCTACTTGTGATTAGCTGATTATCGCTTAACTTTTAAAAGAAAGGGGGGAAGGAAATATGCATGCATATCACATAATTCTTATATATTTGATATTTAAACTTATGATATGTATATCACATTGGTGTCATAAACCTATGCATGAAATTATGTATCACTTTTAAAGAGATGATGGTTGTGGTATGTTTGATGTAATAAAAAATTTGAGTGTTATGCATATAGATATGAATATTGAGGTGTCAGATATGTAAATATTTTAGATTTGTGTGGTATTGGTATTTTATGTAAATGCCCCTCCAAAAAAAAAAAATGTTAGGAATTGGTTTACTTATCTTGAAGTGCCTTTCATGTTGAATTGACATGTAGCAAAGAATATGTTTTTTTTCTTGTTCACAGTAAAGAATTGCTATTCTTGTCGACATGGAAAGTGCAGAAACTGAAGGAATAATATATATTGAAATTACACAATGCCCTTGTGAGTGTTGAAGCTTTTATAATTGACTAGAATAGCAGTTTTTTTTTAATGAAAAATCACCCTTCATCTGCGTTATCATTTACCATTATGCAGAACCAGACTTTCTCTCTCTACCAAAATCATTCTATTTTGTTGATGGCATCTAAATTGTATTATTATATGACAGTCTTCTTAATTTACTAATACTTTAATGATTTTGCAGATTGATGCACTCTATTATTATTACCCGAAGAGGCTCGGTCAAGTGCTCTTAGTTGATGCACCATTTGTGTTTCAGTCAATTTGGCAGCTTCTTAAGCCATTAATGAAGTCTTATGCGTCTTTGGTATGCAATTTTGCTCAGATTTACTGTTTGCAAGTAGTTTTCAAACCATATTTGCATATCAGAGTTTATATATTCTTGCTTAAATGATTTGAATTGCTTAAGGCCCATTTGGGATCAGTTTATTTTTTGTTTTTATTTTTGTTTTCATTTTTGCTCTTTTTTTTTAATAAAAAATTTGTTATTTTAATTGTTTGGGATCACTTTTATTTTAAAAAATATTTGCTTAGTACTTTTTTTGTTTTAAAAAACAAAATAACTTGTCTTTAAAAACACTCAAAACCTTTAAAAATTATTTTAAGTGTTTTTAAAAACAAATAAACATGTTATGACATATTAAATATGTTTTATAGCAACTTAAAACATAAACAAACTAAAATAAAAATAAAAGATAAAAACAAAAGTCAAAAGTGATCCCAACCAACTCCTTAATATATTTCTTACATGTTTTGATTTTTTTTTATTTCCAAAAATTGAACCAACTTATTTTAAAAAATGATTAAAATAATTCTTAATCATTTTGAGTGTTTATTAAAATATTCATAATATGTTTAAACATGTTGAACATGTTTTATTTAAAAGAAACTATATATAAAAAAGGTTTAAAAATTCAAAAGTAGAGATAAAATAAAATAAAATAGATGATATCGGAGTTAACCCAAATCACAATAAACAAACAAATATTATTACTGTTAAAGCCAATAATGATTAGAAGTTACAACTAATGCACTGAAAGGGGAATAGCAATGACAGATACAAACAAACAATTAAAATTATATCCAAGGAGTGGTTGTTGGTTCGGCGGGTTGGAAGCGGGGAGGCTGGTTGTAGGAGCGGGCGGTAAAAGGTGGCAGTGGGGTAGCAGATGAGGGTAAGTGGGCTGTTATAGGGAAGATGGTGGGGGAAGGAGTTGCTTGTTGTGGAAGATAGCAGGCAATAGGGGACTTATGGTGGGGGCTGGGTGTTGGGAGACCTGGTTGCTGTGGGACTGAAATCAGGTTACAGAAAAGTTGCGACAGGGTGATGGTTCGCGGCTGGAAGTTGCAGGTAGGGTGGGAGGTAGGATGGCCGGGAGATAGAGGGATTGTGGTGGCTGCAGGAGCAGCAAGAGGCGCTATCCTGGAGGTGGGATGGTTGCAGCAGTGATGGTGTCTGCGACAACAGAGACAACAACGGGAAGGTTGCAGGGGATGGGCAGGTCAAGGATAGTCACCATCTCGGAGCGAGATACGACCGTAGCACAACTTATCCTTCGATACAACCCTAGACTAAAAAATAGGAGACGACGACGGCTGTTGCAAGAAATACGAGCAAAATTGAAAAACTATAATATTGGAGTCAAATATATAAGCCCTAGATAACTAGGATTTGGATCTCTCTATAAAAAGAAATGTCAAACCAATGCGGAAGAATTGGTCGGCCCTCCTAGGTTTGGACTGGTTCGGTCCAGACAAAGAAAGTGCAGGACAAGCTCTCGTGGCTCCTCTACCCCCGTGTCAATAAAAGTGATCCCATAAGGCCTTTTCATTGTTACATTTTAATGTTCTTAATCACGTCCACTAGTTTTATTAGGATTTCAATGACACTCTTTGCTTGTATGAATAGACTTTATGAGTTGGTTCAGTCGGATTGATTCGATTGAGTTAGGTTAATTGAGGCTTTAGTTTAATGGGTCAAAAAGCAAATTGGGTCGGGCCAATGGAGTTTATTGGGTGCTCTAAATTCACAGTTCCCATTTTTTTTTCCTAGTTATTTTTATTTATATTTTATATTTGCTAAACAACGATAATTTTTCTGTTGAAGGTGAGATTTTGTGATATGGAGACGGTCAAAAGTGAATACTTCAAAGAAGATACTATACCTGCAACCTTCAAGGGTTGATGCTGCACATCTGGAAGGGTGTTGGTATGTTACTAAGGTTCTTGGAAAACTTGGGCTGGATTGCAATTACTATAATAATTTGAAGCTATCTGCAATATTTTAATTCACAAACCAAACCTTAATATATATATATGTATGTATTTATGTATGTATATATGAGGCATTTATGTACATATCACACAATTCTTATGTGTTTACATGTCTAACATGCAGACATTCATATATAAATGTGCATACCGTACAAATCTTTAACATCGAATAAAAAATAACACTATCACTATCTTTTTAAAAGTGAAATCCACATTTTCATGTATAATTTTATGACATCAAATTGCTAATAACTGTAAATATTAAATTTTGGGCATTAGACATGCAAATACATTAGAATGTGTGGTATTTATGTGTGTGTGTGTGTGTGGGCGCACGCGGGCGCGTTACAGGTAAATAGGAGACCTCGTAGATGCAAATGGCTTGTAATGGATATATTGTTAAAATAAATTATCGATTCAGTAGGTTGTGAGCACTTGAAAATCTTTCACTTGCTCTAAACTTGAAAATTATTTGACGAAAAAAAGAAACTTGCGAAAAGCATTCGACAATCGAAATCGTCAAGTAACCCAAAATTATTCGTCTGCATTGAATATTCTCTCGAAAAAAATTTGCAAACTCGCCAAAGAATTCACCAGATTTTTCTTCGATCTGATCTGATTGGCTTCCAATTTTACTAAATTTGATGTAATGATTTTAGATTGTGCATGATTTGCAAGCAAACATGATTTTTATACTCACAAATCTATATGTACTCTACTAAGTTTAACACAACAATTAAAATAAATAAAAAAATCTATGAACCGCTACTAGTCACAAGTACAATTCGCGCAATTCGCGCAAAAAAAAAAAAAGGACAGCACGAATTACGAAAGATTCAGATAGTCCCCTTTAATCCAATGAGAAAGCTCCAACGAAAAATAGTATAAAAGTTAAACTCTTGAGAGTCTAAAGTCTTTTCTCGCAACCTAATCAATACGTTGAATAAAAAACCACCGTATTTGCACATGGTTGACTAAAGCAAATCTTTTTTTCATATGAACTATCAAAAGTCAATGATACTCCTTTTTCTCGTTACGATACTTGCACAACTTCAATAGAATCCATTTCGATCTCAATATTATCCCAACCACAATTGACAACCAAATTCAGAGCCACAATCCGCCTCAACTTCAGCACAGATAGGAGAAGCAGCTAAAACCAGCACACAGTACCACAATCCGAAGCACCGCCAAAATTCCGACACACCCCCTTTCAATACCAGCAAGCAAATTATTCCAACTGCCATCCGTAATTTTCATCCACAAAATCAGAATAACTTTTATTTATACCACAGTTTTGCAAAAGTGGCATATCTGTAAATACATGGGAATTATGATATGAATGTAAAACTTCCAGTTATAAAATATAAGTGTCAACGCACACGTGTTTCTTCACACTTCATAGCATTTTAACAGGCTGTAAAAATGAGATTATTGTCTCTAATTGCAATCATCTTCTATGCATTGAGATCGATGTCACTCAGTCAGATGCTTTTTTGAGACTAAGACTTTGACTTGATGTCAGACGTCATCGTCTTTTTTCCCAGTCACTTACCCTTACCTTAGAAAACCAAACAAATCAAACACGTCTGGCGATCAGAGAGAAGAGGAAGGAAAGGACGAGCGAGCGAACTATTAGAAAGAACAGAAGATTTTCTCGAATGAAAAAAAAAAGAGAAAAAGAGATCATTTCTGAGTTTCTTAGTCTGAAAAAGGAAAGCTAAATGCCTCTCCTTAGTGTTAAAGTTTAGGGAAATTTACACCTGCAGCACACAGTTCTTATTTATTTGCATATCTCACCTAAACTTTCATATTTACATATAGAGCACTTGGGTTGAGTTTTGATGTGATATTAAATAATTGAGTGCTGTGTGTGTAAATATGAATGTTTAGAGGTGAGATTTTAAATAAATAAGATTTGTGTGCTATTCATGTAAATTCCCCTAAAATTATAATGTAGAAATAGTCCCATTCTCATTCATCTGAATTCAGAGATCCTGAAGACCCGGGCGGTGCCATCATTCGAAACAGAAACAAGAGAGCTTTGATCTGCAGTCACAGCTAAGGATTGAACCACGTCGACGTGACCGCCAAAGGTACGGACGCAGCCGCCGGAGAGACTGTCCCAAATGCGAACCAATCCATCTATCGATCCGGTCGCGACGTATCGCGATGTGCCGAGCCATAACAGGCATGTAACCCCATCCTGTCGAAAAATGAAGAGATCAGTAGAAGGAAACGATGGACTTTGACGGTAAAAATTCTACGTGAGGCATTTACATACATACCATCTAATTTCTACATATTTACAAATTAACCACTGAGGTGATTTTATTGAACTACTGAACTGATGTATCAAACTTCTGAGAATTTGATAAAAATGAATTCACCAAGAGTCATATCAGTAATTCACCAAAGTTGAAAGCCAAGTTCTCACAGGGTGCATAGAGATTACTACCACTAGAATTAGGGGCATTTACATACATGCCACCCAATTCCTATGTATTTACATATCTAACACCTAAATTTTACCTTTTACATTTATACCATCCAAATCTTTCATATCAAATAAAAACTACCACCATTTTAACTTTTTAAAAAGTGAAATGCCCATATTCATGCATACGAAAGGTGGCATATATATATATATATATATATATATATATATGTAAAAATTGAAGTTTCGGCGTTATATATGTAAATACATATAAATTAAGTGGAATGCATGTGTAAAACTTCCTTTATTTTTACCAAAAAAAACTTTACAAAAAGAATGAATTGCAGGCAGATATGTAAAATAAAAAATGCAGCTAAAATATTGATTACTGACATCATGTTCACAAATGCATCGAGGAGAAGAACGCTCAACATCCCAGATAATTAGCTTTTGATCCAAACTCCCAGTAGCAGCCCAGTTAGAACTGCAGAACCATATGAATATTTGTTAGAAATAAAAGTAAATTACGACGACCATTAAAACATGAAATTATGCAAGGCTTTGTCAGCCATGCTTATGGAATTCTTATATTTGTACAGTGGGGACCTTCTCTATTAAAGCTCCATAGAGTGTTCTTCAAAAAGGAATGAATCAACAACAACAAAATCCCACTAGGTGGGGTCGGCTATATAAATCCTTTTCTCCATTGCGTCCTATTAAATGTCATATTTTCATTTAATTTTAATAGATTAGAATCATTTTTTATACAACATGCCCAAATCTTTTTAGGTTTACCACTACCTTTCTTACCAAAAGTCAAATCTAAAACATCTACTCTCCTAACAAGATCATCAGATGGTCGAAGATTAAAGTGACTGAACCATCTAAGACTACTTTATTCGCCTTCGGAGCTACACAACCCTTTCACAGACATATTTGCTTCGCATTTTGAGCAAAGTTAAAGCCCTCATCTACCCAAACATTTTCATCTCAGCAACGCTTAACTTAGTTTTATGTTTCTCTTATATAGGCCAACACTACACCATAAAGCACTGTAGATCTCACAACCATCTTATAGAATTTTGTTTCAAGTCTAAGCAGTACTTTTCCATCTCACAATAGGCCGATGCATTCCTTCACTTCAAACATCCAAATTGAATCCTACTAATAACATCCCCATCCAAGTCACCATCACTTTGAAAAATAGACCAGGGATATCTAAACATTCACTCCTTTTGATGACATGATCACCCATTGTTACCGCAGCTCCCACTAAATCTAATACTACTAAATTACATTTCATTTCATGTATTGAGCTTTATATTTACTCAAGTGAAACCTTTAGACTCTAAAGTTAACCTCCATAATTCAATTCTTTAGTCTTATCCACCAAGAGAATATCATCATCAAAAAACATACACCAAAACAAATCCTCCTCTAAATGTCTAGTAAGAACATCCATAACTAAAGCAAAAAGATATGGGCTTAAAACTGATTTCTGGTGTAATCCAACTGAAATAGGAAAAATACTTGATCAATCCTCCTTCTGTTTAAATACAAGTAACAACGGAATACAAGTAACAAATATAATATACATATCTTTAATAATTTGAATATAAGTCAAATCAACATTTATCTTTTTTAAAACACTCCAAAGTATTTCTCTTAGTATCTTATCATAAGCTTTTTCTAAACCAACAAAAATCATATGTAGATCCTCCTTACGCTCTATACACTTCTCCATCAATGTATAGCTTTCATAGTAGACTTGCCCGATATAAATCTAAACTAATTTTGGGAAGCTTTTGCATCAAATATTAACCTATGTTCAATTACTCCCTCATAATTTTAATGTATGACACATTAACTTAATTTCTCTAAATTTTGCATATTTTTGTGCATCCCCTTCATTTTTATAAATAGGGACCGGCATACTCTTCCTTCACTCCTCAGATATCTTTTCATTTTGTAAATTAATATTTAAAAAGTTTGATAAGCCAAGAAATTCCTAAATCCCTAAACAATTCCATACCTATATTGGAATACCATCATATCCTATTTGATTTTCCACCATTCACTTTCTATAAAGCTTTCTTGATTTTCAATTTACGAATGGAAAAAAGAAAAACTTCATATATAGTTATTAACTATATTAAGATCACTAAAATCAATCATACTTTCAAAATCTTCTATTAAAATATTTTAATGGCTAGTAATAACAATTATTTAATTCTAATTATTCTGAGTTATTTCCTTTGATTTCCTTCCTTTTTCTATTATATTCAGTTTTATTTCTTTTCATTTCTATTACATCCTGAGTTTAATTTTTTTCTTTTTTAATTGATCCAATATTAGGTATATATGCCCCTCTTTGTATCAATAAGATGTATTCTGGTTCTATTCCATCATGTTATCAGAGCCATGGTCCTAACCTAGGCTGTTAAGAATCTTCTCGCTCCACCGGTCTATTCAGACATGTTTTCTCCCTGTCCAGATTTGCTTTCTCCCGCCAAGAACCGCTACTCCGTTGTTTGCTTCTTCTAGCGTTTCCAGCAACTGACCCTAGCAGCTTCTTCATCTTCTTTTGGCGATTCCAATAGCTTATCCCAATTATGTCGTTGATCCCAGCAGCTTCTCCGTCTTCTTCTAATGATTCCTCTAGTGATTCCTCTAGCAATATAAGCACAAGATTCCTTTGAGTGCTTCCTCTGGCGATTCCTTTAGCAATATAAGCAACTGCTTTCTTCCCAGTCACCGGATAATCCTCCAAAACCGCTGATCTGGCCTGTTTGCACCAGGCGACTTCCTCCCAACTATCGGAACTCCTTCCTAGGAGCTCGGTCTTCTTCCAAATTCATCGGATTTCTAGTCAAACTAAACCTTCTCCTCGAGGACAGAACAACCATATCATACCGTAATCTTCCAATGTTCCATCAACCCAACACTTCGTTTGGCTCGGTCGGGATCATGGCAGACTCCTCCAGCAATGAGCCGTCATCGGAAGGGGTTCTTGAGTCCATCGACGAGGAGGACAAAAAAAAAAATGAGCTTCTTGATCACAACCCATAAACTAAATAGTAGTAATTTTCTCCAATGGGCCCAATCAGTGTCATTGTTCATCAAAGGACATGGAAAATATTGTCATCTCACTAGTATGATACGTGAACCTCCAAAGACTGCCCCGACGTATTGAACTTGGGAATTGGAGAATTCCATTGTCACGTCATGGTTGATCAAATCCATGGAGACTTCGATTATTCGATCATATATGTTCCTTCCGCTAGAGCCATTTGGACCGCAGTTCGTGATACCTACTCAGATGTAGGAACTTCTAACCAACTCTTTGAGGTGTCCAAGAAAATTCGTGAGGCAAAACAAGGATCCAAGACCATGACCCGATACTACAATGATCTAGTTGCATTATGGATGGAATGCAACATATATTATGACAACACTTGGAATCTTCAACAGACTTATCTCTCTTCCAGAAAAGTGTAAAAAATGACCGTACGTTCCAATTTTAGGCATGCCTCAACAAAGATCTTGACGAAGTTTGTGGATGTATCCTTGGCATCCTTGGTCGGATTCTCTTCTACTTGAGTTGCTTTCACTGAGATTCATCGTGAAGCAAGCAAGAGACTTGTCATGTTTGGTGCTTCTACTACATCGACCGAAGCATCCGCCTTAGTATCTAATAGTTCTCAACACCGGGATGGTCATCCAACGTTTGATTATTGCCACAAGCTTAACCACCCTCGTGAGAAGTGTTGAAAGTTCCACAGAAAACCACATCCACACCTTCAACCAAATCTTCCACTGCTAAGGGTCTCACCACGACATCTAAATTCAAAACGGTACAACCGACCTCTACCAAAAACAATCCAGAATCATTCAATTCTCTTAAGAGTCAAATGGAGCAACTAATCAAGATGCTTGGATCCAACCCGCTCTCTTCTGACTCGTCAACTCCAATGTTCGTTTAGGTACCAATCATATGGCACTCACTTATTTTGCCTCTTCTAGTCCAGGATCATTGATTCAGGTGCAAATCACATGACAACAAACTCACAAGCCTTCTCAACATGTTATCCTTATTCAAAAAAAGATAATGTTAAAATTGTTAATGGGTCTTAAAGTTTTATTGTTGGTAAAGCGTCAGTTATTTTAACAGGTATAATTCTGAAATTTGTGTTACATGTACCTCCGCTAAAATGTAAACATTTATCTGTCAATAAACAGACATATGACATTGATTACATTGTTCATGTTTCCTCTCATGTCCATGTCTTTCAGAATTTTTGTTGGGGAGAATGATTGGAACTGCTAAGCGGGTTGGTGGGCTATACTTCTTCCAAGAGAAAAGCACGAAGAATGATAATACTTCACCCAATAGTTGCAGTTTATCTCAGTCCACTGATTCTCCTATTACGTTGTTAACTGTCGTTTGGGTCATCCTAATCTTCAGTATCTGAAGTAATTGTATCCGTTGATGTTCACAAATAAAAATCCTTATAATTTCAAATGTGAAACCTGTCAACTAAACATCATCGTGTCCCTTATCCACCATACAATTACACACCTTTCGCTGCTTTCTCTCTTATTCACGGTGACTTATGCGAGCTCACTTGCACCCCTAATTACACTAATAAACAATAGTTTCTTACTTTGATTGATAACCATACTTGGATGACATGAGTCTATATTTTAAAACACAAATCTGAAGTTATTGTCACTTTTGTACCTTCATTTTGACCCAATTCAAAACTCTTATTCATAGTCTTCAGACCGACAATGGTCGTGAATTTTTCACCTCTATATTACGAGAATTCTTGATAAGTAAAGGCATCTTCTATCATAACTCTTGTCCCGGCACTCAAAAAAATGGGCTTGCCAAGAGAAAAAATCAACATATTCTCGAAGTCACTCGCTCCATTATGTTTCACTCCAATGTCCCAAAATATTTCTGGAATAACGTCATTTTTAATCCCACTTATCTCATAAATAGTCCCCTCAAAAATTCACAAATTCAATGCCCCTTTATCCGTCTTGAGTTCGTTCATTCACAACAATCAAGCCTTCTCTACTTTAGACCCCAAAACTTTTTAGTGCACAGCCTTTGTTTTGGACACGGCCCCAACTCGGAGCAAACTTGATCTTAGATGTGTTTTTTTATGATACTCTGCCACTCATAAGGGGTATCAATATCTTGACCCTACCACAAATAAGGTCTATGTGATTGCTGGTCTCTCCTTTTTTGAAAGTATTTCCTATTTTCCTAACTCGACCTCACGTGGGGGGAGCTAGAGTTCTTGGACACAGTTCTTTACCCTACTCATGTGGATTTTTCCCCCTCGTCACATTTAAATTGTTGTTGGACACAGTTCCTTACATTTAAATTGTTGTTTCTGAAATTTGTGTTACATGTACCTCCGCTAAAATGTAAACATTTATCTGTCAATAAACAGACATATGACATTGATTACATTGTTCATGTTTCCTCTCATGTCCATGTCTTTCAGAATTTTTGTTGGGGAGAATGATTGGAACTGCTAAGCGGGTTGGTGGGCTATACTTCTTCCAAGAGAAAAGCACGAAGAATGATAATACTTCACCCAATAGTTGCAGTTTATCTCAGTCCACTGATTCTCCTATTACGTTGTTAACTGTCGTTTGGGTCATCCTAATCTTCAGTATCTGAAGTAATTGTATCCGTTGATGTTCACAAATAAAAATCCTTATAATTTCAAATGTGAAACCTGTCAACTAAACATCATCGTGTCCCTTATCCACCATACAATTACACACCTTTCGCTGCTTTCTCTCTTATTCACGGTGACTTATGCGAGCTCACTTGCACCCCTAATTACACTAATAAACAATAGTTTCTTACTTTGATTGATAACCATACTTGGATGACATGAGTCTATATTTTAAAACACAAATCTGAAGTTATTGTCACTTTTGTACCTTCATTTTGACCCAATTCAAAACTCTTATTCATAGTCTTCAGACCGACAATGGTCGTGAATTTTTCACCTCTATATTACGAGAATTCTTGATAAGTAAAGGCATCTTCTATCATAACTCTTGTCCCGGCACTCAAAAAAATGGGCTTGCCAAGAGAAAAAATCAACATATTCTCGAAGTCACTCGCTCCATTATGTTTCACTCCAATGTCCCAAAATATTTCTGGAATAACGTCATTTTTAATCCCACTTATCTCATAAATAGTCCCCTCAAAAATTCACAAATTCAATGCCCCTTTATCCGTCTTGAGTTCGTTCATTCACAACAATCAAGCCTTCTCTACTTTAGACCCCAAAACTTTTTAGTGCACAGCCTTTGTTTTGGACACGGCCCCAACTCGGAGCAAACTTGATCTTAGATGTGTTTTTTTATGATACTCTGCCACTCATAAGGGGTATCAATATCTTGACCCTACCACAAATAAGGTCTATGTGATTGCTGGTCTCTCCTTTTTTGAAAGTATTTCCTATTTTCCTAACTCGACCTCACGTGGGGGGAGCTAGAGTTCTTGGACACAGTTCTTTACCCTACTCATGTGGATTTTTCCCCCTCGTCACATTTAAATTGTTGTTGGACACAGTTCCTTACATTTAAATTGTTGTTGAAAATAGAAGTTGTTGATCAACGACTTGAGAAGTAGGATACTTTGCCATAAACTATGCTAAACAGTTTAAAATATGTATTAGTACTAGTTAACCAAAATAATCAAGGATTTAGACTATATCATCAAGTGTATAAGATCAATTGTTTTCAATCAAGTCCACCAAGCTCTTAAAATTTACATACTTCAGATGATTTTATGGCTAATTTCGAGAACTAAACCATTGTCAATTAAATCACTACACATACGGGGGCCCACGCAAATATTTTAGGCACTATAACATTAATGCAAGTAGATTCATTCTAAAGATCATTTCTTATTAAATACAATTCATATCTTGTTAGCTAAGTGCTCTTATTTATTTTGTTTGACAAATATCAAGTCCTCTCTTATTATTGGCATTTCCTTTACCATAAACTAAAGTTTAGGTGCATCAAAAGCATCAATAAATTTCATGCATATGTTCTAAAACATCACGTTGATGAATGATAACATCTTTCATATATGTAAAGTTAATTCATTCCCAATTGTTATTTTTTTTATTTAACCATTGGGATTCTTTATTTTATTATCAACAAAATGTTCTGCGTTTGAGCACAACTGCATAGTTCATTCCCAAATGTGATGCTTCAAAAAATAGGTGGAATTCGACAACTAAATTGGCTTATAATTTATATCCCTTTTCTCTCATTTCCCATCTCTCCTAGTAGTCCAAAATTTCCACATTTTAAATTTACTCTACATTCATTAGCAAAAAAAAATCTCAGTGATGCAAGCTGAATAACTTTATAAGCTAGGACTACAAAAAATCAAAAGTTTGCTTCCTAATTTTAGAAACTACAATTCTTAGCATGCACAAAAAAAGTATACATATAATGGTGGTAAACACATTTAAACATGCAAATAAAAAATTGCAATCAACAATTCAAATGGATATAAAAGCTCAAGAAAAAAAAATAAAATTACCTCGGAGAGATGCCAAGGCACTCGACGGAGTCAGAATGTGAGATCAAAGAGCTAATCACCTGAAAGGAAAAATGGGAGCTTGATTACACAGAATAAAAGCATAGAGTTATTATTCTGAAATAAAAATGCAAGGAAAGGTAACCAACCTTGCCGGTTGCTAAGTTCACCATATGGACGGAGCTATCTTTTGATCCAGTTAAAGCAATAGTAGAATCATGGGTTATTGATAGACACGTCAGTCCATCAGTATGATAAGGATGACCTATAAATTCAAATAAAGAAATCTGTGTCAACATAAATTACATGATTCATTTCAAAAAAAATTTAAAAGTATGAGAAGCAACCAAACAAGGTATTTGTAATATAATTTTGGAGCAACTTGACATCAACAAATCACTAAAAATAAAATAAAGGGGCATTTACATACATAGAACACAATTCTTATGTATTTACATATAAAGCATCTATACCTTACGTTTCACATCTATACCACCCAAATTATTTACATAGATAACAAAAATAACACTATATTAATATTTAAAGAGTGAAATACACTATTTCATGCATAGACAAGGTGGTATATATGTAAAAATTGAAGCTTCCGCGATAGATATGTAAATACATAGAAATTGAGCTGTATGTGTGTAAATTTTCCTAAAATAAATGACAAAATAAGGTAAGTTAGAAGAAATTAGAGATAATACTGATAATTTCCCTTACGTTTAATTAAATATAACGGAAAAATTTACAAACTTGCCTTCAGTGTAGGAAGGAAAATTGGGACAACATTCTGCATTTCCCAAATTAAAAAACTCAACAAGAAATATTTCATAAAAATTGACTGTGTGGCGCAATCATTAAGGTTTGCAAATCAATAAATCATGTCCGCATATCTCAGTTAGAGACAAATACAATGATCAAATTGGTTTCACGCATCTGACCCTCATGACATGCAATTTTTACCTAATAATTTTTTTTGCAAGTTTGTCTAAATATTTACTATTTCGATATAAAATACAACAGAAATACACATTAAAACCACTAAAAAGCTCTCCAGGCTAATTTGGATATTGACCATAAGGTCAAAGAGGTGAATCCACAATTCATCTCTCCTGAAATGCAACCCAAGGATTTTAGTCTTCTAGAATTATTCCAATTACAAAATAAAGAATTGCGTGGTTTGATCTTCTTAACAAACCAAAAACACACCACTGCATGGTATAAGCTCAAAAAAATTAGTTTATGGGTTGAAATTAAAAATAAAAAAAATTAATTTTATAGAAATAATACGTTTGCATATAATACTGACATTAATATAGGATGGTTATTCTGGTACATATGGCATCGTTTGTTAACTAATCAAAATACATAAAATTAACAGTGGACATTTAGATACACACAATTCTTATGTATTTACATATCTCACACCTAAGCTTTCATATTAACATGCATGAACTCAAATATTTAGGGTGCGTTTGTTTCGGTTGTAGCTGTATGAAATCTCAGTTAAAAAATTATTGTGAAAAATCTGTTGTTTGAAAATTGATTTTTCAGAAGATATTATTCTGTTTGGAAAATTCAGTTATAAAAGCACTGTCTGTGGATAAATATTTGAAATACCTCTCTGCTTCTATTTCACTTTATAATGTTAGAAATTTAAGTGGTACGCATGTAAATATATATGTTTACGTGTTAGATATGTAAATGCAATAAATAAAATCAAAATACTTAAAATAAAGTTAAAAATATTTTTTTCAATTGAATTAAAAAAAAATTCACCCATTTTAGTTTTATATTTTAAATTTATTCTAATAAAAGATATTAAATATTAATTTATCATTAAAATTTTGGCTATTTGTACACATGGGCATATTTTCAAATAAAAAAAATGATAATTGAGTGATATAAAGAATAATTTCTAAAAGATGGCTTTAAAAACTTTTAACTATTTATCATTTCGAAAAACCAACTCTCTGGAAAATAATTTCATTCCACCATACAGCTTTATTTTTCTAAGTGGCGACACCAGCAGATTTTTTTGATGAATATACTGAATGATTATAAAAGTATATTTATGTTTTGTGAAAACATAGTTAAACTAATGTCTTTTTCATTCAATCCTGATTAATAAAAACCAGGAACGAGTATTAATGAAAAATATATATATAATTTGTTTGTTAGTTTCTGTTATTCATTCTTAATCGATATGGGTCAACATGGGGTGTATCACCATTAGACTTTCTTAAATATCTTGATTGATCCTTACTCTTCCCTCTCCTTCTCCAAGTAACCTTTGGCAAGGGAGGAATAGACAGAATCTGTCAAAAAAGAGAAAAAAGGGACAAGAGAAGACTATTGAGACACTTAAAAAGTATTTAGAGGAGCTTCATGATGAAACTTCTTTTTATTTACATGCTCTCATTTTTCTGGATAAGATGGGGATGCGTAAAATGGTGGTGCAAAAAAGAAAATTATTTGTTTGATAAGAAATACTAATTTCTTGAAAAGCATATGATCCTTCAAGTTTTGTTTTGGAAAAGTGGGAAACACAACTTAAGAACAAGAAAGCTTTATTTTACTGAACAGTAAAAAACAATCATCAATAGCCATACCTCAACTATTTGAGTTTAGCTTATTAATTTTAGTTTTCATTCATCTATTTTAAGTGTTGAATGACAAGATTTGGAAATCTCATTTCCAATGATCCAGGAGAAACTGAATTTAATTTTTACTCTAATTGAGGCCAATGAATGTTAATTCTTGCAAATTAAGCGCAATGGAACTCTCCACCGAATACCATAAATTTGCTAACAAATAAAACTATACCCCAAAACCTCTCTCCACCTCTTGGTCACGCAAATGCTCTGTATCTCTGTGTCAAAGCACCGTTTACCGCCACTAGCTCCTCAAAAAAATCTGAAGGAACCGAATTGATTCAACACAAGATGCTTATTTCTAAAATATTCTAGTATTTTGAACTATCCAAAAATTTTATTTTTTTATTTAAATATTAATATTGTCTTAAATTAAAATAGATGATAATATTAGGAGATATCTAAATTTGAATTCAAATTTAGTTGCATTATCTTGTAACATCTCATCTTGTTAATTTTAATAAAAAGAGCGAGAGATGGAAAGCGCCCACAAGAAATAAAGAAAAATAAGGAACAGTCAAAAATCCCTCAAAAGGATAACCGCAAGGAAACCTATTACCATGTTAATTTCAATCAAAGTAGCCTCTTGATCAAGCTTGTAATATTTTATATTTTCACCACTAACTTAGACAAGTAGCATTGCCTTCCACTATCAAAGTGGAGGTCAAAATATCAAATCTCAGCCCAAAAAAAAAGGCATTTCCTTCTCTTCAAAATCTTCTAGATTAACTAGATATATATATATATAGGGATAAATATCAAAAAAAGAAAATAATACTTGCTTAAGAAGAAAAGCTAATTTCTTGGAGAATAAATATAACTATTCAAATTTACCTTTGAAATTTCTTGCAAATCCAGAAACGTTGTTTTCTTCAGGAGTATGAAATGTTAGTTTTCTCAAAACAAAAAATCAAATATACTCAGTTGTGGTTTGTATTGATGGGCATAAGATATAAACTATATAAGGATAAACATATCAAATGGTGACCAACACAACAATCATAAACCAAGAAAAACAAATATATGTGTATATTCCTACTCCAACTAATACTAATAAATTAGGGTCTGTTTGGGGCAGCTGCAGCTTATTGAATAATTTGCTGATAAGCTGATTGAAAATAATATGCTGATAAGTTAAGTGCGGTAACTATTACAAATTTTTATTTTTTTTTTTGAAAAGTCAAACCACATCCAGAAAGCTGTCACTGCACCTAGACAGGTGCGGTATGAAAATGTTGTTTTCAACGTTTTGAAAACACATAAGTTGTCAAAATGTAGTTTACCCAAACAGGCCTGAAGCGTTTTCAAAACGCCACCACACCAAATAAGCTGCCCAAACGGGCCCTTAATTAATATCCCAAGTTCATCACATCCGGATTATTATTATGTGTAAACATATAATGTACAAAACAAAAGAAAAGATTATCAATAGTAGGAAATGTTTTAAAAAGGAATGCGCACTCTACCTCTAACATTGATGTTATCTCCAGTTTTAGGGTTCCATATCCTCAGTGAGGCATCATCAGAACCGGTACAAATAATTTTTCCTTCAAAATGCAACAAAAATTTAATTAATTGACAAAAGTCCAATGGAAAATAATAGCTTAGGAAAGAGTATTAAACGACAAACAACTAAAAGTACCATCAGGAGAGAAATCTCCACAAGTGACACTGCTAGCATGACCATAAAATGTGTTAAGAGAGACACTTCTGTCAGCATTCCACAGCCAAACACTAGAATCTTCTGATCCAGCAAGTATCAAATGCCCTTTAGGATGCCATTTTAGCCACTGTGTAGTTCAAGAAGAAAAAAAAAATTAATAAAATAAACTACAAGGGTAAAAATAGTCCCAATTGTTTACATGAAGTCATTTTAGCCCCAAAGTCTATAAAAGTGTTAATTTAGTCTTCAGACTCTTTTAAAACGAGCTGAAATAGTCCAAAGGGAGAATTATTTCAGATACAATTTAAATAGTGGGGACTTATATGCACTTTTATAGGTTATGGAATTAAAACAACCACGTGTAAATAATCAAGGGCCTACTTTGACATTTTACTCAGCAAATTTCTGTAGACAAAAAAAAATGTGTGTAAGCATCCACAAGCAGCAAAAAAAAAAAAATTACGCAAGTCACCTCAATACCCCCTCCAGAGCCTTCAAGCGTACACTTTAAGCTACCGAAATTTGCATCCCAAACCTGAATGAGTCCATCAAAACTTCCGGTTGCAAGGAGTTGTCCGTCAGAACTAAAGGCCAATGTAGAAACTGTGTTTTGATGACCTTTAGAAGAACAATAAAATAAGAGCAGGTAAACACCACACTAAATTGAAGAGAAAATGTCAAAATAATCATTCGACTGTTTCAATAAAAAAGGAGCAGGTAAACACCTCTTGTGAATATTTCAAAGAAATACAGGAGTTCGCTCATGTAAAACCAAAAAACAAGAAAATTTGGAAGATATAATGAAAACTTCTTATTCCAAGAGCCATGTAATGAAATATTTGTATAAAGCACAACATAATTGACCTTTCTGTAGAAAAGGGCAATAATTTCAAAACATTACGATTGAGGGCAGCACTTTAAGATGATATAACTAGAGTTTGTTGTGAAACTCTCATAATATCATTGGGTTTTGTTATAAAACAGTTGCATAATATTTTATAAGTTTAATGACAAACTGAAGATAAATCTTAGTAGTGTTGCAAAACCCCTTACTTACAAAACTGGTTAAAAAATTATCCTTGTCCGCAAAGATTTGAAGCTACCGTACTTATTCACTAAAAGACCAAATTTCAAGGAGTTCTATATGAATATCCTCATAAAATTCATATATTAGTTATATTTACGGTTGCTATTTAAAGATCTAACAAGCAAACAAACCTTTAAGCTCTAAACCTGAATCTTGTGAGCCAACCTTCCATAGAAATCCTCTATCGTCTTTACCTCCTGTAGCTATCAAAGATGGATCTGTTGGACTGCATGCAACTGAATAGAGTTCATCTGCACCAATTTGAAGTTAGAAAAGACAATTGTATACTAGAACAGGATCAGTCACCCAATCTCACTTAATAACTTTTTCTAAATATACATCTGAAGATGCACCAATCTATTATTTCTTTTAGTGGTAAAAACAGTAGGATATTCAAACTGTCAATCAAGAGACCACAACCAAAAATGGGCATTTACATACATACCACAAATATTCTTATGTATTTACACCTGTATTTTGCTTTTTTACATTTACAGCACCAAAATCTTTCACATCACATAAAAAATACTGTTATTTTAACTTTGAAAAAGTGAAATACACCTTTTCATGCATAGGTAAGGTGAAATATATGTAAAAATTGACATTTAGGTGTTAGATATGTAAATACATAAGAATTGAGTGAAATGTATGTAAATTTCCCTAAAAAAAATGTTCAACGCTAAAAATAAAACACTTCAGTGTCAAGATATTGAGGTACAGCAACAACAAGACCGCGCAAAAGGATTTAGAAAATGTAATACCTGATGTGCATGAGAAGGTGCATTTCAATTTTAAAAAGTTAATAATAGTGGTATTTTTTAAGTGATATTAAAGATTTGAGTGGTATGCATGTAAATATCAAAATTTAGGTGATAGATATGTCAATATATATGAATTGTACGGTATCTAAGTAAATGCCCCAAAAATTTATTGCACTGTGACGTTTTACTTAATTTGGCTTGTATAATCTGCAACTTTAGTAAGGAACAAAAAAAATAATAAATGAAACAATAGCAATTATTGTCAACAATGTAATTTATGTGCATCTTACGTAAAATTGTACTATATCAATAATCTATAGAGCAAAAAAGAAGATTCGTTAATTTCTCAGCAACAAAAAGCCAACAAAATATATATAATGTGCCTCATTTCTATTATTTGATTAGAATTACAATTTGAAATGAAACACAGTTTTTTTCCCTTATATATAATATCAACAGATGGAATAATGAGTGACCAAATCAAATCCAGTGTGAAATGGATTCTACATGTTCTCTTAAAGAAAAAATTATTTTAAAGGAGAAATGTGCTTCTTGAAGGTACCGACTTTTAATATTTCACACCTGTATGTATCTATATGGTATATAGCAGCGAAACAAAAGTTTATGTTCTATAATCTATAGTCATGAAGAAGAACATTTAATTCTAAAATGAAACTCTCAAGGAATTTTTATCTTTTCTTATATTTTAAGATTATTTTTATTTTGGCGAGACATTGAAGCAATTATTAGAAAAATAAAAGTGAGAGAGGCGCTATAAGTATAGAAAAATTAGAAAACAGGAGTGAAGTTCATAATCATTTCTTAGCTTATGATCTCAAATGGTTCATGAAAAACTGATAGAAAATGACGTTGATTATTGAACATGAAATGATCATTTCCATGGAAGAATTTTTTGATTGAGTGGCAACTTACCTGTATGTCCCTTGAAGGCATAAAAGGAATCATCAACCTCCTCTACAATAATAATAAAAAAACAAGTTAGTCAATGAAAGCAAGAAATAATCACACAACACTCATTATTATAATCATTGATGAAAAAATTTTGCAATTAATATAAGGTTTTGTCATACTTATATTGATAAATTTGTCATGTGAAAGACAAAACATGTCACCAGGATGTTATTTTTTAACTCAATAACTATTAAGGTTGTCTTTTCAATGATAATGTTATTTACAATCCCAAGAAAATATTAATCAAGCTACTTTTTATGAAGTATATGAGTATCAAGCTTAAGAAACATCTTATCCAATCAAAGAATTGGGGGGCGGGGGTCAATTTGTCGGGTTAGATTCAAATAATTCAAATCATAGATTCCCATATGGTGCAGGATACTTATTCTTATGCACATGCCATAAATAAAAAATAAATTAAAATTAATATAATTCTATAAATTTTTTTTAGAGTGGGTAAACAACCAAGTCCTTTGCTTCTAGCAAGATAAATGTGTTAGTTCTGAAATTTTCATCATTAGGTACCTAAACTTTTAAAAAATAGCCACATCTTAAAAGTTTGAGAACTTGAGATGGACAATGGCATGAATTTAGGAAAGCATCAAATGACATTTTAGTTATGTGAAATCAAAATAGCAAGTCGCATTATGTTTTCATCACAGAGAGTCATAAGCCCAAAAAAACTAATGTTTAAGTGCATTATCCTGCGAATAACGTAAAGGCAATTTTATGTTTAATAGAGACTTCATGAAGTGAAAATCAGAAAATAGGGTGTTGCTTCCAAATAAAGGGAGCAAATTCTTTGGATATAAATAAAACAACATGAATGGAAATATTTGCAATAAATAAACTTCCTATGAATTTTAAATAAAAAATTTAGAAAATAAAAACAAAACAAGAAAATTCTTTTAAATATATTTAAGTAATAAACAAATCATGTCTTTCAGGGGAATTATAAATTGGTTCTAAGAATAATCCCCATCAAATTTGGTTGAAACCCATGAATAGTATGCTACGAAACACCCGCTTACCTTGGTTGCACTCAGAGAGGCAATAATCGTTTAATTTAAATGCACATATAATACTATCATTCAATAATTAAAATGCTCTTCTGATATAAACTAAAAACTAAGACAGCTTCCAAGAGTTTAACTTTTATATATATATATATATATATATATATATATATTCTTCATAATCATAAGAAAAAAAACCTACCATAATCGACATCTGAATCCATTTGCTCATCGTACCGATCCGAAAGCTCTGCCCGAAGTGCAAGATTAGGTCAGAATGACTAGAAGATCACAGACAGGAGTAAATAGTAAGATAGAAGAAGCCTTCATCGTCGATGGGGATCTCGTGAAGAACATCGTCCTCGTCTAAGAAAATCTCCCCTGCTTCAGAATCGTAATCTTCTTCTCCACTGCTAGCACCATTCATAATTGCCCCCATTTTCTTGGCTCGCACTTAAAAAGGCTTGTTAGACCTCCTTTATACTGTAGATAAAATGCGTTCTAAATTTTTAGGCAGGATTTAACCCAAACAGCCAAAATGAACTTTAAATCCAGGGTTTAGCGAATCCAGTTTCTCCTCTTATGGGCTGCTTGGTAGCTGGATTTAAGAAGGATTTACACAAAATTTAGACTAGATTAGGCCGAAAATCCGGGATTTAGCAAATCCAGTGAATCGGCGAACTTAGTAAATCGAGACGAGAATGGAGGCTTACCTCTTTAAGAAATAACTACAATATCACATATAGGAGTGATACATCTTCAACAAATCTCCATTATGCAACACGAATCTCGAGGCATGACATAGATCTCGAGGTGACTCATTGAGCAAGAAATATTCAAACCTTGATAAAACCTCATCAGGAACTTTGATTTCAACAAACTTACAGTCAAACTAACTCGCTCAACAAGAAGAAATGCATGTTACCAAAATTTGTTCAATTCAGGTCAAATCAAGCTCAGATCAAGTCATTAAACGACTTTTTAAAGTTTTTGGGACATATTTAAAAGGTTCAATGAATATTCAATCAAACAAGCCTATAGTCGAATCGAGCGTCTTGACAAGACGAATCCAACTAACCCAAGAATTCTCAATCCCGACATCATCAAGGCACTCAAATGTCCATTAAACGACATCTGATAAAAGGAAGCTTTCTGAACCGTCTAATTGAAGCGGTTCATATCCCTGCATTAATTGCACCCATAACATTATAAATAAAGTCACACCCCTCTTATGAGGAGGGGGTTGGAGGTTGAGAGATAGATTAAAGCTTTGAGAATAAGATGAAGTCTAGCACCACCCGTCACCGACGGTCGCCGCTGGGCAACGCCGTCGAGCACTATCATTGCCATCAACCACCACTGACTGTCGTTGACTGTCGAACACCTTCGATCACCACCAATCATTGTCTACCAACACCGATCGGAAGCCGTCAGTCGACGTGGTAACTTAAAAAAACCTTGTAACTCTTTCCCGTCTGTGGGACAAGAAATTTCTATAATCATCAGACTATAGTGGATTCTTACTTCTGGGTCGGGCCCCATGGTCTTTTCCTTTTATGAGTTTTCCATGTAAAAACTTCTAGTATAATTATTGGTTGCTTTTTTTTACCTGAGTATGTGTTGAATTCTCGTGCAACGTTAAGTGATGCAGGCTTTTTGTGCGTTATAAATAGTTTTCAACACCACAACACACAAGACAACTATGCTAAAAAATATGCAGATTAATCAGAATAAAATTTACTTCAGTATAAAACGTTTTCTCTTTTAAAATATTTAAAACTCTCTCCTAGTGAATTAATGTGTACTTTCAATTTCAAATCGTCACTAGTTCAAATCGTCACTAGGTAAATCGTCACTAGGTTGCAAACGCAAGTATATATATCACTCAAGTAATAAAGAACTCTAATGGAGTCCTAAGTATCGATCGTACAAGAAGGTGAAAATTTCTTAAGGAAATCATGCAAAAGCATAATATTTAAACTATAGAAAACTTAAGTGAGAAAACATGACAAAATTTGTTTAATGTCACTAAAGAAACTACGTTTACTACACTAATTTCTAAACTTCAAAACTAAATTTACTAAAAACTAAACTAGTTTTTGTGACAAATAGTTCAAATTGAAGAAAATATCATTTCCCTTACAACGAGATTATAGTTAGTGAACTATCAAATTAAAGAAAATTGTATTGTGTCAAATAGCAGCAATTACATTCTTTATCCTTTTTACAAGCGATGAAGAACGTTGGCTAATCCAGTGTTTAGTCCTTAAAATCGCGGTTAGGCTGGAAAGATACTGGCTCTAACTTCAAAGTTCCCACGTTCCTCTTGCCTGAGGGCTAACATCTCGTTTTAGTTTCCAAACGCCTGAACCAAATTGGGATTTGGGGATTTTAGTCTGTCACCCTAAAACCGCCAATTCTACTCCCATCAATGAATATTTCCTTATTTATTCGCACTCAATCCCATGGAGTACATTCTCATCCATGAAATTAAATGTGATTCTCACTTTGTTGTAGACAACATAGCCCTCTCGGATCAAAAGGTAAATGAAGTTTGAAGTTTGAATCATCACAATTATGAAATGAAAATATTGCACAACAATCTTAATTCTTCACACGACCATTTCTCTTTGTAAGGAGAAGGACAAAGAAATATACTCAGACTTCATGAGAAAGGTAAAACAATTTAGCTCGATCTCTTCCCCAAGCAAATCACTTGAAGTTCCTTTAAATCTCTATCTCTCTTTGCATTAACACTCAAATCTCTCTTAGAAATGTAAGGAAGAAGAAATCTCTCTTCACTCTCTTCTTACAACTCTTAGAGACACTTACCACACTCTCCCACACTTTGATACTCACACCACTTTTTCTGACATAAAAATACTCTTTTATAATGTAGGGATGAATTTTCCAAGAGTCTTCATAAGAACCTCTTCAAAATCCGTTCAAATTCAATGCATTTGTGAAAATAACCATCTCTAGCGCCTAGGCGCCGAAATCTGGGGCTTAGATGTTGTCTTCTCTTTATTATGGCGCTTAGGCGCCAGTTCAATTTTTTGAAAACACCCTTTTTTACTCCAAATTTTGTCTTTTTTGAATCCTTGAAGCTCCAAATGCCTAGACTTAATATACTTGCAATAAAACATGAAAATATATTTTTTTAAAGTGCAATATCACCAAATATAAGCCTTAAATATATATGTGAAATTGAATATTTTTTTGGTGTATCAAAATCCCCAAATTTAACTATTACTTGTTTTCAACTCTTTTACTGCATAAAAAGTATAACTTAAGGTAGTAAGCATCACTTCAAAACTTCTATAGTTTTTGTTTTATAAAGGCAATAATAAGACTTTAGAAAAATTTTAAATAACTTAAGTTAAAACTAAAAAAATAAGAATATTTAGTAATTAAGTTTAAGAGTTTTTGTTTTCTATTCATTTCAAGAATAATTGTAATTTATCATATTAAGAATGATTAGATAAACAATATAAAAAAGAACTTCATGAAAACTTCGTTAGTAAAAATGCTAATACTTTAATATAATTTTACAAATGTATTTAAGCCTATTTCCTTAAGTTGATTCAACTGAAGCCAATTTTTAATTTGGCATCTCCTCGAACTTCTCCTCACATATATTATTTTTGCTTTTATTTTTCTCTTTTCTTCTCTTTTTTTTTTCTTTTTTTTTCTTTTTGGATCATTTTCAATCCTTTTTTTTTTCATGTGAGAATTACTATATCTCGTTAGCCTTTAATGATTTTGAACTTCACCATCCTCTTCTTAAAGTTAAAAACTTCATACATGTCTTACTTATAGTTGTATATTAGCTTTAAAAAGGATTTTTCATAGCGTCTCAACCCCTTCTTTTTATATAACTCTAAGGCGCTCTTAATATTTCAAAAATATAATTTCCTTTATTTTAAATAGTACACACATAACATTATACTCTTATACTAAATATCTTAACTTTTAGAACTAACCTTC